GGCAGGGTGCGGGTTGGGGTGGGTGGGGGGGTGCAGTGGTCGGGCCGCCTTCACCCTGAAGTCCAAACCCGATACCCAAACCCTTGCAGTGGTCATGGCCCCTGCACCCGAAAACTCTAAATCCAACACCCAAACTCTGAGACCCTCAAACGAACCGCTGCCATGCGTTGCGCACTGGCGGCTGTCGTTGACGGGGGGTCCGGGCAGGGGTGGGGCGGGGCGTGCGAAGGAGTTATGGCACTCGTTTGGGGGGGACACGAATTATGGCATTTTGTTTTCTGGAAAATCACTTATACGGTTTTGCAGCTGCTCTTTTTGATTTCAGCATCTCATCACCTCCAAAATCCTATCGGACGGGATACTAGTCCTCACCCGCTCCCGAAACAAGGCTCGCGAGAATTAGTAGCTCAAATTGCAAAAGCTCCGCGAGCAACTCCTTGCTTTGCAACGCAGAAGCAAAGTACAACGCAAAGAACTTGAAGGAGTTTTAGGTCTACTTAATTGGGCAACTTGCTCTCATGTCTTAAGTGCACTTCAGAGCGATGCGGGTCGGCTAGCCTCAGCCATTGATGTTTGTGTGATGGCGGCACGAGGCGCACGTCCGCCTTGCTGGATATCTTGAGACTGCCGACCTCAAGAAGCTGTGCGTTGCGTGGCAGCCAGGTGCCTACTGGTGTGCGTGTAAGCTTTGCGTTTTTATCAAGGCTGTCTAGAAAATTGCCCCACGTACTTGGCGATATGCTATGCAGGGTGCCTTTGCAGCTATGCAAGTCTTTGTAAAGCGGTGCCATGAAAGGCCGCATGTGCTTGCTTAAGTGTGCTGGCCTGGCTCCAGCATTGTTTTTCGCACGAGCAACCTCGTTCTCTGCGGACTGCACCGCGCATGCACTGCTACAGCGCTGCAGACGCATTTGCAGACACGCATCGCATGGGAATTGGAGGCTGGATTAGCACATCCGACTCCTTCCTTTGGTTTAGTGCCATTTTCTCGGCCGAAGAAGTTCGCAAGCAGTGGCCGCAGTTGCAAGGCAGTCTGCAGCCATATATTGGCTGCTTTGAGGCACTGGCACAGCTTGCCCTAGCACAGTGCTTTTGGCAGTTGCTACGAAGCAAACAAATTCGCTTCGTCCTGCCCACAGCGTCGGACAACACCAGCGCAGAGTCCGGCCTCAATAAGCTCTTCAGCACTGCAGAGCCCCTTGGCACTTTTCTCCGACTTGCAGCCACTTGGGCGCACCTGCACCGCGTGCAGTTCGAAGTCGAACACCTCGCAGGGGAGAAGAATGTGTGGGCCGACAAACTTAGCAGAGGCTCCACCGCATTCCTTCAGCATCGCACGGCTGACAAGGTGGAAGTAACGCTAGCGCAGCTGGCCTCCGCATCGCATTGCGTCACCTTGCATGATCACGCATTGAAATGACCGCAACAGCTTCTAGACGCGCAGCACGCAATGCTTAAATGAGACAAAACGGAGCGACGCCTCTCTCTCTTCGTTTGATAGTGCGCTCACTGCTCATCTGTTCTTACGCCCTGCCTCGCCAGGTACACCCGCCAACTCGCGCGGTGAGGGGTTTTCCAGCAGAGGTTGTCGAAGTGCACCTAAAGAGGGGGACAGCTCGGCATCGCTTGCCGCTTCCCTTTTGGCGAGCAATGCCTCGCTCTGCACTGCACTTTCGAGCAACCTCCGCGGAAAAAGAAGTGTTCGTAGTTCGCACTGCGTGTAGCCTTGAGAACAGTTAAGAGAACGCTAGTTGTGAGTTTGTGTTTTTGATTCAACTGTGTTTTCTTTAATCTGTGTCGAAAGAACTTAAACGCTCCGCGCTGCTTTCGGCACCAGCACTGACAACTAGTGTTCACGGTCTTGCATCGCATGCATAGCAATTTTTCACCCACCCTCCACGCCCTGGGGGACAGCTCGGCATCGCTTGCCGCTTCCCTTTTGGCGAGCAATGCCTCGCTCTGCACTGCACTTTCGAGCAACCTCCGCGGAAAAAGAAGTGTTCGTAGTTCGCACTGCGTGTAGCCTTGAGAACAGTTAAGACAACACCAACGATCATATAGCCTTTCCTGACATATTCTCCGGTCACCCTCACGTTTGTTTGGGTCAGGGACTACCCCAATACTGCACGTCATCAACTATCCGGTTCCTGACAGGTGAACGGGCTCATCAATTGCCTCGCACAGGATCCATGCCACCTCTGAGCTACCTTGGAAAACCCAAGCAAGTTTGATCCTTGAGCGCCTTGAGCCCGAAACCGCCAAAGCTTAGGACTGGACGTGGTCCTGGTAGCACAGTTTAGCCAAGCGCTTGGCTACTTGCGCGAGACCGACTCGGGTGGGATTTGGGAAGAAAAAGGAGGCTCTCGAGGGACTTGATTTCCTGGTCTTTGCACTTGGTACCTTGTTTGTTTTTTTCTAGGATTGTCATGATATTTCTCGATTAGATCAATCATGCTCTTAAAGAGGCGCCTAGGCTGCTGAGCGCATTGCCACATTGCTGCAATGCTTCAATCGCAATAACCAGTGGCACCTTTTCCACCACGTGAGTTCATCGTAAGCCAGGTTTTGATTATTATGTATTGTTTTTGCGTTTTGTTGCTTTTCGTTTGTTTGGTGGTTAAGTCTAGTCTGCCACGAAAGCAAATGCAAGAGGGCAAGGCTCGCACTGTCAGCGTATTGCTTGGCTCGCACTAAACGTAGTGACTGAGGTTTAGAATTGGTCCAAGTTTCAGCTTGTGATGCGGACTGTTCTAACAGGGTTCGTTCTGGAGGCTCTGTGTTGAAAATTTTGCCCAGAGACACTACAAAGCGGGCCTCCATGTGTGCTAGTCCCCTGATGCTGAACTCTAAAGTCCGCGGCTGCCATGTCCCGTGTCTGGGTTTCCGGCTCGGTGTTTCTATCTCAGCGCAGCCAGGACTGGGTGCACTTCACGATGTAAGAACCGCAAATGTGCCAAGTCTGAACCTGCAGTTTCTGATGAGATATCTTTCAGAAGATTCGACGATTCTTGGCGATCCCACCCGCCGGCCGGGGCCTGCGAAGGTTACGGGATTCAAGCTTTTGACGTAAGGACTCTTACGGCATCTCTGCGGTTTTGCACAACAATAAATGGGCGAAGACTCACATACCGTTCACAGAAGTGAAGACTGGCCATGATAGGCACGCATTGGATGATTGGCCGCTGGAGCGTTCAACTTATTTCAACTTGGCAGTGGGGCTCAACATCTATGCTCGTAGATTTCTCTGCTCAATTTTCAGTTTTTGCTCCTCAGGGATAGCAGCAATCATTGCTTTTTAGTTGTCTGGTTGTTGCTTCAGGGGTGGTCAGAACTATGGCATTTTGTCATTGGCTTTTGCTGCGGGATTGTGTTGAGAAGTGTTGCTTACAGCTTTCTGAAGGTTTCTGAAATCGGGGGGTTACTTCTGAGCGCCATCCCAGTCCGATCCCATCCGAGAGCCAGGAGCCTCGGGCCCTAGGACGCACATCGTGGAGGCGCGCGCCGCTTTGCAGCGGGACGCTTTGAGCTGAGAAGCGGAGTGTTCTTTGGCATTGTGCAGGAGCCTGATCCTGTCGTCCGGAAACCATCGCTTCTCAGTCACGGCTGAACGGTGCTGACCTCGGACTTTTCTGGTTTAGTAAGGATGCTGCGGCTCGAGCATGCGCTGCAATTCTGGGTTTTCGAACCGATCGAGTGTCGCTGCGGCTCTTCGCAATATCAAGGATTTGCAACGTGGTGCCCAACCGTTTGAGCCCCAGCAACTGAACTCTTGGAAACAGGCTGTTACTAGTAAAAGCTTCGCACATGTTCGTGCGTTTAGAGTGCATGGCTAGTGTTGGGTTGTGGTGACCCCTCAGAGTCTTCTTGGGTAGTAAAAAGGTGTGTGCGTGTGACAGTATTATCTAGGGAGGCGTATGTATTTTGGGATTTTTGAATTTGTTTGTGGCAAGACTATACCTGAAACCATAATCTCAAGAATCCCGGTAAAATGTCAGGCCGGCGTATTCCCTCATCAAATGGTGTTGGAGTCTATCTGAGATCTTCTGATCCCCTAGCGGCCACTTTCGGTTCCGAAGCAACAGTACCCTCGTCAGGGCCCTCGAGCATGCTTCATCAACAGTGTCTGCAGCGGGAGGTTAATCAGCTTTCTTTACGAATCGTTCTTAATCTCACAATCGCATCCTTCGCACGTGAGAGTTTAAAACACAATGAAAGGCCTTCGTCTACCAACCTTGAGTAGATAACAACAGAATCCTTTTTAGACCGACCATGAAGCAAGTCTGGAAGCGGCCGATGCCTAGCGACCGGAAAAGGAAAGCTACACAGCAGAAAAGTCGGCTGCAGCGTGCGACATGATCGGCCGCGATCGTGAGTTTGCAGACCCGTTCTCTAGCAAACCCACCCAAGCCCAAAAAACAACTTCAAAAACACAGACAAATGCCAAATGATTTCCAGACCAGTTTTCTAGTTTTCAGTCTCTGCGCCGCTGGAAGGCCCGTTTGCCCTAGAATTAGACAACCTCAGGCTCTGAAGGGCCCAAGCCTGAGCCTACCGAGGTTCTGGTGGCCTCACGAGCCGAGCCCGGAGTCTGCATCGCTGCGGAGGGTGCGGATGATCTCGCATGGGCTCTGACCGTTCTTATGGATGAGGAACCAGTCTTAGATTGTGAGTCTGATCCGAATTCACCGATTCTCGAGGCAAAATTGACGCTCGGCTTTCGCAGCGTTTCCATGGCTCGACGCCCTTGCGAGCTCTTAGCTCTTCATATCTGTACCTACACTCCCATGTGGGCCCCCGAGCCCGAGCTATGTCACAACAGCCTTGACCTGAGCAACCGACAGCAAGCGATACTATGAGCTTCAGGTAGGGTTCTCCAAAACAGGCCCTGTGAGGCAACTCGCTGCAAGATTCCTGTCCAGCGCTCATGAAAAACGTAATTGGGCACAGTCCAAAGCCAGCAGCTACCACCAGCTTCCAGAACTGCACGTGCTAGAGCGTTGATGAGACTGCTGGTACTCGTGTGCGCGTTCGCCTGCAACGTCGCAGTGCTTCTGCCTTTTGGGCTCTCCGTGCTACGGGCCAGACTCAGAGGAGGTCAGCATCGGCGCTTCGCACCCGTCGATCCTCACAGCATCGAAGAGGCGAGGCCGAGTCCGCGTCCGGTCATTCCGCCCTCGTCGAAGCGGCAACGGCCGCCTGAGAAGCCAACAGCGTCTCCTGTGTTGAAGGCCTTCGATGGCTCTTTGATCAACAAATCAGACTATCTGAGACACTTGGGCCAACTCAGCCGACAAAACAAAGTAATCTTCGTGCATGTGCCGAAGACTGGTGGAAGCACGATCGAGGACTCCCGTCTATTCGCAGATGCCAATAAATTTCACAACACCAAGGGCCACAGCGAGGCTGTCGTGCTGAAACTCGATGCATTGGGCAGTTGTTCAAGGTTTGTTGCAGCAGCTGCTGCTGCTGCTGCTGGTGCTGCAGGCGGCTAAAGTAGATCGTCCAGCTCTCATTTAACCCTGTGATTGTTACAGACACCCCGAATGTTCACGCAGCGTGTTTTCGCAAAGTCGGTCAAGGCTTGAGCCATGTGTCGAATTAGGTGGCTCTGGGAGAACGGTACAGCAACAGTCACAACCACAGCCACGGTAACCACAATCACACCCACCTCCACTTCAACAACAGCAAGAAGAAGAGCAACAACAACAACCACTACGACCACAACCAAGGTAACAGCAGCAGCAGCAGCAGTCGCAACCGCAGCCGCAGCCGCAGCCGCAACCGCAACCGTAACCACCGCTGAAACCACTGCCGCGACCACCACCACCACCACCGCCGCCACCGCCGCCCGCCGCCACCACCACCCCCACCACCACCACCACCACCACCACCACCACCACCACCACCACCACCACCACCACCACCACCACCACCACCACCACCACCACCACCACCACCACCACCACCACCACCACCACCACCACCACCACCACCACCACCACCACCACCACCACCACCACCACCACCACCACCACCACCACCACCACCACCACCACCACCACCACCACCACCACCACCACCACCACCACCACCACCACCACCACCACCACCACCACCACCACCACCACCACCACCACCACCACCACCACCACCACCACCACCACCACCACCACCACCACCACCACCACCACCACCACCACCACACCGCTGCTGTAGCACACAAAACTAGAGGAGTGCTTGACAGTGATTATCAGCAACACGAGGAGAGAACTCGCGCCCAACTTTCGGAGCTTCACCATGGTGCGACACCCGTGCGAGCGGTTCGTGTCTGCGTGGACATACGTTCACACGACAGATGCACCGGAGCCAGAGCGGCAATGGTACCGGGAGAGCCTCGGTGATAGGAGTCTCGCAAGTCTCGCAAGCAGGGCCGCTGCTGGCCTCCCATGACCATGAAGGGCTCGAGAGAGCAGCTCAGGCACTTCGGGCGCGGCAAACTTCCCACCTACGCGGCCTCCAATTTTTTCGGCAGCCCCCTGGCTCTCGCACAGACGGAACAGCAAGGCTGTCATGAAGCCTTCGGTTCATGCCACTTTGTCGAAAACACTTGAAGGCTCTTGTCCATGTTTTGGATTTAAGGTGACACCTTCTTCTCCTTTTTGCATTTCATGCCTCAGCACAAGTTTGTCTTCTTTCCCAACAAGACGTTTGGAGTGGATCTTCTTCTGTGTCAAGACAACTGGACGAGAAGTGTCGAGAGACTGCGCGAGTACTTGAAGCCCGTGAGGGTTCCTGCAGAAATCGAAAGGAAGCGCACGCTCCACACGACACATTCTAAATGCTCGGAACTGCCAAACAAGACACGTCAGAGAATCGAGAAGGCCTATGCGCTGGACATGTGCATCTTTTATCCAACTGGTGCTCCAACGGCCTGCGATGGTTTGTCTGTGCAGGAGCTTACTGTCCGCTACAGGAACTGCACGTTGCACGGTCCGACAAACTGAGCCCATGACGAGTATCCGTGATTGACATATTTGTCTGCATTTGCGAACTTGTGATCATTTCCTTCTCGCATGTGCTTCGAAAGCACCTAGAGCGGCAGCAGATGTGAAAACAGCAGCATGTGCGCCATGCATTGAAGCTTGCTGCGTGTACACCGACAGCAGTGCGACGTAGCCAAGAAGAGCCACGAGAAGTCAAGTCTGCAGGTGACGCAGCGAGGTCGCAAACTGCCGCAAGCTGTTGGAGGCCGCATGTGCAGAGTGTCGAGTGCTATAAATCTACCCCTGGCGCGCTTTCTTGGAAGAGACTTTCTGCTCCAGTCTCTGCGGTATCGCTGGGCGGATGTCCCTTTCTCGACTGGCTGCGGCATGCCGTCTCGTAGACTTCTTTGGCTACAAGCTGGCCTATGCATTGTTCGGGTCTCTGCGCCGAAGACTGTGAAGCGTTACGTGATACAGCTGCCGTCGGCGCCAGTCGCCGAAGATTCTCAGGTTTTATGTGCATGGGTCTGCAGCCTTTCCAGGATAGTCGGTCTAGTAGGTACGTAGGTCGGTAGGTAAGTGTGGATGTACGTATGTGCCTATCGGATGGAAAGGTAAACACAACCTCTCAGAGTCCCGAGTGGGTGTTGTTTCGGTGCGCATGTCTATCGTAAATTTTTTGGGGCGCAGGATCTCGGCCTGCGTGATGGCGGACTGCCTGGCACTGTAGCTGCTGAGCTGCCGGGCCAAGGAAGGGATCCGGGTCCTCAGAACTTGGTAAGTCGTGGCTCGGCACTTGGAAGCTTCGGCTTCCAGCACTGGCTGCGATTTCCGTTTTTGGCATGTTGTTTCGAGGTCCATCTTTGGGTTTCTGGTGTAAACTCGAACGCCCACGATCCAACAGTAGCCCGAAGGCTTCCAGCCCCATCAATAAACCGAACGCCCAACGGAACCAAAGTCAGACACTCATACTCTGAAGCTCCTGAATGGTAACCAGATGCCAGCCAGATGCTCCTGCATTGAGGCGGATCCCTTAGATATCGAAACCGAAAACTCCACAGTTTCTGATCTTATGCTGCTGAAAAGCGGGCCTTAATCCTAGGCCCGAAGCGGAAACTCTCAACCTTCAAGGTGATTCCTCGCGCGTGCATTTACTTTTGCAGATACGTTTTCCTGGTCAATTCAATTGGAGCTTCGTTGCCGACGGCCACTTGAACGACCCCGTCGCCCCCCCTGCACAGTAAGTGAAAGAATCAAGCGTTAACAGAATGTAAAACAGAAAGAGGCGAAAGCATGGAAACGTGAACACATGAATGCAATGTTTGTCGCATGTACAGCAGAATAACACATGAAGGGCCACCTTGTGGTCATGGTAACATCGGGCTCTGATCGGTCGACCAAGTGTGACTGAGAACAGCACAACACAATCCATACGCAAGTTGGCTTTTCTAAAAGAGAGGACGGCGCAACCGTCTGACAGGTAGATAATGAACAATGTTGAAGCCAATCTCAGCCTCATCAACCACGTGGCCGACGAATAGACAGCACTCGGACTTTGGCACGCGGGCATTTTTGGGCAACGCCAAAATATCAGGTAATTCCGGTAACACAATTTGTAGCCGAGCGGAGCCAACCACGATGCACAGATGCAAAGTAATGCCGTGTAAAGGTCCAGTGATCCGTCGTCATCATAGAAATCGTATTGGTCGAAAGGCAGATCCAGATATCCCAGTCTACCACCGGATGATACGGATTCGACTGCGGAGAAGCCAGAGCTATCATTGTGTTTCAGACGACCCCCCCACAACACTTTCGTATTGATCACTCGTTTTTTTAAATCCCGACTGCCGCACAGATTCGAGAAGAGCATTCCTCGCACTCCCTAGGACCAGGATAGATATACGCCGCTATGCCGCAAAGTTTCCACAGATGCCAGACTAAGGGACGCTTGGACTAAGGTTGTTCGAATCCGCAGAACCGAACAGCGCCGCTGAACTGCCGCTGCTGACGGGACCTCGCTGGGATCCGGCGCTTGCGAAAGAACCATGCGGCGTCTGTCGGCAAGCCAAGATTCGGTCGAAGATGTGTGAGATGTGAACCGAAGCTAGAGTCTGCAATCATTGTAAGTCAGGGCTCCACACACGGTGGCCGAGCAGCTGTTTGGCCTCCAGGGCATTCACGAAGCGCATTCTTCTCCATCGAATCCGGAGATGAAGTTCTAGGAGGTTTTTGGAGGAACGGCCCGGATGCTGAAACAGAGCTAGAACCCATCAGGGCTCTAAACCTCAGGGAGTGTTGTTACCTTTCTTGTTGCCATCGCCATGGCGTCGGTCGGGGCCAAGTCTGACCTGCTCAATGTCCTGGGAGATGTCAAAGCCCGCGTGCAGGAGCCGTCTGAGAGTCTCGGGGCAGCTTGAGAAGCCAAGCTAAGAGCTTGCTTTGGGGTCTTCCTAGAAAGACCTCCAGGACTTTCGGATTTTGCGGTTGAGGTTGAAGCGATCCTTGTTATTATTCGTCCCTCAATCTTGCCCCCAAGACATGCTTTTGACGTCTTACCGTTATCCAATGAACAACTTGATTTCTCCAGAGTTCGACCCTCGGTGAGAATAACATAGCTCCATCTTCTTGTGTAGTCCAGTCGCGACAGTCTTTCTACCTTCTGGCGTCTGCAGGGACAATAGCTATGAAGGTCCCAAGATGGTTATTTCCCGGAGGATAGCTGTGAATGTCGGTATCAGCTCCCCCTAAGACTCGGGCAAGCATACCCTGAACTCATGCATGCCACGAACATTGATGTAGTTACGTTTCATCCATTTAATGGAGCGTCCCTTCTGTGTGCCTGTGACTGGGTTGTCACAAATGATCTTTATTGTACGGGGTCAACTCGCAGCTGCTGCTGCGAGAAGCTGCCCCCAGAACTCAGGGCTCTGCCTGGCGCAAGTAGCGTTTCTGAGAAAGCGTTTGGGAGGTTACTTAGAGTATTAGATTCTTCAGGTCTCAAGGCCTAGCTTGTGGGTTCAGACTTTTAACGGCTGGTGCGCTTACAAGCTGTGTGGGGTTTGTCATCGCACAGCCCACCCCCCAGCGCATGTTATCATGTGGTGTACACAATGTGAGAGTTCTAAGCGAAGCGAAGCGATTCTGAAGAAGTTAGTGACCGAAGAGGAAATTTGCAGACCACTGCTGTGTGCGGTCTCTACTAGCGCCCACATGACGTAGGACGTAGATGTCTGTAGGGTCGATAGTCCTCGATCAGAATCCTGCAGACTCTCGGAGGACAAGCTGGGGATCGTGGACTTTCCGATGCCCCAGTTCATTTTGATCGGACGCCAGTCCGTGGGCAAGAGCCGGCTCATAGAGGCAACGCCAAAGGGTTCTGGAAGCAGAGTATATGCTGCAGGGAGTCCTCAAGTCTGGTGGAGACGGTGTTTCAAGGATCTTGGCCCGTCTAAGCCTCCTAAAGCCCGATGCTTGTTTGATTTCTCTCAGAACCTCTCGGGGATTTCAGGCGCTGGCCGGTGAGTGCTTCAACTTCATCTCAGGGCTCCCTGGCGTCAGTCCGCATGTCGCTGACAATTCTGGGTTTGTTCGGGTTTCAGGTTGGCTTTAGGATTTTTGGAATGTCGCATCGGGTTGGTCTTGCGAGACTTTGTGAGATCTCGGATGTAATTTGCTGAGCCCAGGGTCTCCGCGTTGATACCTTACTGCGGAGCACTGCTCTTCGTTAGCCGCACCACCGTAGAGTTGGGTATCCTAAGCGGCCACCTGAAGTGTTACAACCTTTGAGATACCGGTTGCGCGAGCATTCAGAACTAACGAGCTCTCTGCTATGGAGCCGAAACCGACCCAGATCGGAAATCCTGCTGAGCTTTCGGAAGGGACGGAACCACGGCTCGAGGACCTTGGGCAGCCGACGACCCACGGTACTCGAGTTCCGGCATGCCCCAACCTTCTCTCAATCCAGGCGGGAACGTTTGGGCTGCTCCGCTTGCGTGTGGGGCGTTGCAGACTCGTGCAAAAGCAGAGCGTAACCAAGCAGTGCTAGCAACATCAAACTATATTCTCCCAGTGCCGGAACTCCGAGGAAAGTCGAACTGTTGCTGCCCACTCCAATCCGTCATAGCCCAAGCAATGCCCCTAGGGCACATGCCAAGCAGCTCTAGGCGTTCTTAACATTATGATTGTGCTCGGCTGTTGGCGGTCACGGCTCGGCTCATTTGGTACTTGTTGTTGGACGGCAACCGCGAAATCTCAGAGCGTCTTCATGTCGCAGCATACCTGGCATTAGGCATCGCAGTTTACTTTCCAGTCACGAACAAGCCATAAGACCTCATGAATTTTAATGCTCGTGGTGTCCTGGCTATAGAGGAGAACTGAGGTGTGGAAGGGTCAATTTGAGGAATTTCTGGGGCAGCGGTGTGTGGTCGAGTGAAACGAACGCGGCGCAAAGACAAAAGAGGGGCATCCCGAGCCGCCTCACCGACATCATGGCCACTTAGATTCCCGCAGCTGACAGATGCTTTGGCACCGCTGAAGCTCGCAGAATGGCCACACACTGCAGCGTAGTTTAGTTTGGCATGGCATGTTTGTTGTAGGAGCCTTCCGACTTCCGAACTCTGCATATCCGCGCCTTTCAAATCCTTGACTCACCAGCAACAAAGGCAACACACAAGTGCTTGACACACTATGTTGAAGCCTGATTGAGGGGCTCCTTGTCTGGGAGGTGGTTCGTGCGTGACCGGAAGACAAACCACTGGGTCGATCATCCAGTCGACCAGGACTGGGGTCAGAGTCTTTAGACGAGTCTGTTGCCTCTTATGTCGCAAGGTTGATGACCGCGCGTAGCAGGTAGGTACAGGTTTGTGTGTGATTTCAGATAGTCGATGTTACAGGGGGTAAGGGGTGTATCGTGTGCTCTCGAGGGTTTGGGGGGGCCTCGGGTTCCGGATGTGGGGTTCGGGATGTAGAATGGCTGTCGGGCCTTGTCCTTTCCCTCAGAGTTTCGTCCGTGGGGCTTGGCTCAACCAATAAAATGGGGGGGGGGGTCTGATAACTTCTATGAGCTTTTACGAAGATCAGGCCACGCCCATATGCAGGCAAAAGTATGACTTGGGTCTGTAGTTCATCGTACTGACAGGCTCACAAAAGCCGGAATCCAGGATTTCGCATCCCAAGGTCAAACGAGAAATCTTATGCCCTGAAGGCCGCAAATGCACATGCAATAAGGCAACTGAGCGAAACCAACAGCAGATCCCAATGCAAAAGCCAATAGCCTTGAACACTGACTGCCAGAACCTTAGTATATACCAGGATATCACAAACAAAGCCAGACACAGACCCATGGCCACCCACTGCCGACAGGTCATGAAGATCGTGGGCGATGCCCACGAGGAGCACGGCCTGGGTTGTCGTCTTTATTCAGGATTGTAACATTTTGATCACACGAGGCATGTGCAGACAAAAGGTTCTGACCGTGGTTTGCACAAGCGTCTGTGTGTGAGATTAGATTGCAGCTGCTTCGGGCTGGGGTTAAATCGTTCCAGGAGATTAAAAAATTCCAGGAGTACCGGAGTAGGGACCTTTGGTTCGGGCTTCAACATTATGAGCGGTTTGATTCAACTCGGAGTTGTGTTATTGAAGACTTGGTGTTCTGTTATCCCGCTGGTAGAGTTGGAGTGGCAGTGAAGACATCCACATGAGTTTGGGCCCCCAAACGCTAGGCCGCTAGGCCCCGAATGGACCAAATCCGGTCACGTAGACCTGCCGCCGCAAATCTGCAAGCAACATCACCGCAAGAGTTGTTTCCGGAGACTGCTGAGCCCCCCAAGAAGCTGCAGCCTGCAGAGTGGCAGAGCCTCTCTCAATCTCTGAAGAATTCACGCCTACACCCCACACTACACCTGTCCCCGCGTAGGAGTGCGGCACTTCAGTCAGTCACGAGCCCATCTATGTGCGCATCGAGTCGAGCAAGTGTGTCGACACCCGGCTGAGAAGCTGTAGGACTTTAGGACTTTTGGGCTTAGGGCCGATGACTGAGGTTGGTTGGCGGGTTGCTGCATGGTCATGTTTCTTTCGGGCAGGATGTGGAGTGGTGTGCTGCCCTGAAAGCACGCGGGGCTGAATTGGAGATGCAAAGTTCTGTTTAGAGCTTGCAGCACAGTACTGCGTTTGTTGAGGCAAGTCGGGCTAGGCATCTGCGGCCCGAGGTTGCTAATGCAGGATCCACCATGAAATTTCTGGTCTTTCCTCCGCCTGCATCTTTCCCAGCAAGACTATATTCGAAGCTGCGGGGTGAGGGTGCCTCGATTCCTAAATAAAAATAGGTACATAGATACATACATACATACACATACTCACATACACACATGCATCTAGAAACGGCTTCAACTCCGAACCCTGAACCACGAAGCTGAGTTCAACACCAAGTCCTCGGCCGTGCAGCCGTCAGCCGTGGAAACCCAGACCGAGCTGCCCAACTTCCGATTCCCTCCCGAAATCTTGAGGTTCAAGGGCAAGAAACCTAGAACTCGCCAGGACATGCAGATCGTTGACCTCCCAGGTTTCCGGGACTTTGCCATCGACACGGGTAAGCAGGACGAGTTGTTTCCCACATGAAGAAGTCCTGGAACTGCATAACAGCTGCAATCCCGAGCATAAAAAAGCCGGATGATCCACCGAGGTTTCCGACCGTTGAAGCAAATGGAGTCTTGTCCGGAAGGATATTTTTAATCGAAACTTCCCGACTCGTTCAAACCTGCTCTAACTACGGGAATGCACAAGGGCAGCGCAAGTTAGGGATTCTACACTTTCATCAAACCCGACGGAACGGGGCTACCTTGGAGTAGAGCCTGACTCAACGGGAGGATTTGGCCGACAAGATCGAAAGCCTTGTCATGTCCTTCATGAAGGACAAGCGGTGCCTTGGAATCGATCAGCATCAGCATCAATTGCCACCATCTATACAAGCTGACCCTGCAGTCCCGGAGGAGAAACCAGAATCATCTTGCGTTGCAGAGGTCCAAACTAAAAGCTAGAGGCCACCATGAAAGAAAACCCTGAAGCCTCAAGCCATCTCACTGCCTGCTGCAAACGCACGGACCCCGGCTCAAGTTCCTCAGCTACAGCCTCGGGGGATTTCGGCTGTTTTCTTCCCTCTGGGCGGCATGCGGGGGTGGCTGCCGCGTGGTTTTTGAATGTGTGAGGCTTGATGTGCAAGATCAGACTGCCAGCAGCAAGCGGCGCAGTTTCCGCTGAATGGAGCCTATCACTTCCCTGAGAAGACAGAGGTTGTGTCGTGTAGCCCGGCGCTTTAAATCCACAAAGGTCTTGCACCTCAGACGGCTTAACGAAGGCAACCCGGTGTGGCTTGTGGCCCTGAAGGAAAGAACTTACGAAGATAGAATTTCAATTGGAACCCACATCCCTCGCAAAGGAACGTCATGCTCTGCGTCGAGCAAGCTGGCGATGCAGCCACAATGTCCACTCTGGCAAAATGCCGAGCGCTGGATCCAGCCAATCGGGTCAGGATTCAGAGTGCAGCTTGGGGATTTGGGGGTTCAAGCAGATGTTATGGTATCATCTTAAACCGTCTTTGCAGTAGGAGTGATGTGTTTTTCCTGGGTCCTAGTTTGGGATCTCCGGCTCTTGGGATGCTAGCAAGGAGGCTCGGGTGTGGCTGTCTGGGTTGGCCGTTCTGAAGATTTGCTTTGGCTTCAAGAGTGGTTGAGTTCGTCGAGACGTCGTGGTACCAGCAGGCTGGTCACTTGAGCCGAAGCGAACTAAGCCCGGTGCTTGTCACTTCTAGTGTGTGAGCAAGGTTTCACGAACTCGCGGCACAGAAAAATGCCTTAAACTCGAAAGCAACGAGTTGGGATCGGAGATCTAGGGTGTCTTCGCACGTTCGCGATTCCCGGTTGCCGGGCTTGAGGATTTGGCATTCGAACAGGGGGTCTCGGAACGCCGTGTTCGCACAATGTCTTCCACAGTTTGTTCTTGCAAAGGTGATTTGCTTCAGGCTTTCAGGAGTGCTTGTTTTCTGTTCTGGGATTTCAGAGTTGTGGGACTTCCTCTTCGCAGGCACTTCAGGCACTCCATAGTAGGCCTTTGCGCCACTGGTGCCACTGGTCCGAAGTCTTGACGCAAAGTCGTTCAACACAATCCGCAGCCCTGACGATCGCAATTGTAGGATATACTGTCCTTCTTCGGTGACCCAGGACCTGAAAAGAACGGTTCTCATCAGAAACAAGCTGGACAAGTACTACTCCGATACTTGCTAGCATGTGGGGGGGAATTTCAGATGCGCCGCCTCTCAATATCCTGCTTCGTCGTAGCCGAGGCTAAGGTTCTAGATGTGGTAGTCCTTTGAAGATGTCACTCGAATCACAAACCTTGCATTGTGGTCCGGACATTTGCTTCTATATGCCTTGGCATAGCTTGGCACCCCAAGGCTTGAATTGCGAAGAAAAACCGCGCACATGTACAGAAGCATGGGCTTGCAGGTAAACTTTCTGGATTCTGAATGCTCTTGGAGGCAAGCTAGGCTAAAATCACCTCGTTTGTTCAGTTGGTGTTGGACAGTGCAATTCCAAGTGCTTTCTGCCAGCCCGCAGTCCTTGTGTCGTGCAACGTTCCAGTTTTGAGAGATGTTACGCAGCACAATTTAGCTCTTCTTGGGGGTAGAGTCGAGCCCTCGTATCGGACAAGAGAAGGTCTCCAGTCTCGACCCCAACCCCTTGTATCAGTTTTGAGAAATGGGTGGCCGTTTTTAGAGCTTCCGAACATTCCCAAACTCCATACCAGAAAAATCCAAACCAAGCCGATGTACATGACCCCTGAACCCAGTTGTCGAAAGCGGATCTGCCCAGGATCTGACGCCTGACAATGTGAGCAAGCCCCCTGCTAGCATCGGATTCGGCTTCTTTTGCAGAAGATCTCAGAAAGAACTCTCAAATCCCGGTGCCCAGAGCCTCAACATCCTAAGCCTGGCAAAGTTCACACCGACATAAGCCACAGAAAGTCATCGGAAGAATCGTGGGCTTCACGAACTTGAGATATAATATGAACCACAGCAATCTTGATGACCGTGGGTCTATGTGACACCTGAAACCTGGGTGCGTGGCACAGGCTTGCTCGAAGCAACCTCAAACTTCAAAGCACAGTGGCCTTAACAGCTGCGGAAAAAAACCTTTTGGTTCCTTCGTCACGAAGGCAGATACATCCCCAACATCGCATGGCCTCCTAAGAGTTCCAAATTCATCCGCCCAAAACCCAGGTGGGTGGATGGCTTCGGAGATCTCCCAGACTCCCTGGTGAGGCCAACCGTCCGAAGGTCTGAGAGGCATGGAGCAAGAAGGTGGACCATTGGTGCTCCTGCTGCGGCTACTGCTGCTACAGTACCGCTGCCAGCAAACAGCAAGCAGCAACAGCAACAGCAAGAGCCACTTCCACTGCCAGTGCTACTCCCTGCTGCTACTGCTACGGCTGCTAGTTCTACTACTGCTGCTGCTGCTACTACTACTACTACTACTACTACTACTACTACTACTACTACTACTACTACTACTACTACTACGCGTATTCCTACTCCTTCTCCTACTACTTTCCCTAATCCTACTCCTACTCCTTTGCCGACTGCTACTCCTACTCCTACTCTGTTGATCGAGATTCCCTCGATGCCAATACCGACGTCTTCTCAAAGCAGGATCTATGGTTGATATCCCAGTAAATGCAGAGAAACTTCGCAGGTTGATCCCCATGGCACGCTCGGACAAAATCGAAGAACAATGCGCCACAACTGTCTGGCTCGGCTCCGGTACTAGCGCTTCTGTGCACAGCTAAGCTTCTGCTCGGCCCTCATGGCGGAACTGCTGCTGGCTTCTGCCGATCATGCCCCTCTCTTTGATGACTTCTTCGAGTCATCCGTCTCGCCTGCATGATGTCTGTGTCCCTCCACCGACGCAGGTTTTTACCATGCTGTGTCCTCCCCATGCCTCCCACAATCCTGTGCCGATTCAGGTCCTGCAATCCATGCCATGGCTGCTTTTGCTTCGCGCTTGGGAACATGTCCACAGGCAGCACGATGCTGCAGAGCTTGTTGCCTACCTGATGCCCAGGCTTCTGCCCACAGGGTTCCGGGGTTACAATGGCTTCTGGGAGCCGCGTAGCTACACGCCAACTGGTGTCGATACCCTCGACAGTGGTCCGCTCAACACTCCGATATCCCTTGCATTGGTTCCAGGCGGCACGCTATCCCTCCAGGATGTCATTGATGGGTGGAGTGCTCAGATCACGGCGCGTTATGCGCTGGTTCAGCCGCCAACCCTGTTGTGCCTCCAGTTCCAGCGCTTTCGCAGTCATGAGGGCGTCATGACCAGAGATACCAGAGCATTGGCCGGGTATCAAGCCGATGTCAGTGAGCCAGTCTTTCAGGTTGCTGACTCTATGTCCATCTGGCTAGCCCGGTATCAGGTTTTGGCGATGCAGCTTCATTTTGGCGACACGCTTCGGGGCACTACATATCGTACCATGCTCAGGGGCCAGCAGCTATTCGGAGATGGAAAACAATGGGTGACAGATGGTTCATGCTCTGCACAGCTCGCTTGCAATGAGCATGATGACAGTATTTACCTGATCTGGATGCGCCAGGTTGGGTATGAGAGCACCTGAGCGCTCAGTCAGAGTAGGATTCTAGGATGGAGTTGGCTACTGCCCTCCAGAAGCGACCATAATATATGGTGCGCAGTCAGCTCGCTAGGCGAATCTCGGACATTCGCTGCGTGGGGAATGAATGCTATTGCTGCTGCTACTGCTACTGCTAGCGCTACTACTGCTGCAACTACAACAACCACTGCTTCTGCTACTACTGCTGCTACTACTGCTACTGCTACTGCTACTGCTACTGCTACTGCTACTGCTACTGCTACTGCTACTGCTACTGCTACTGCTACGTCTACTGCTACGTCTACTGCTACGTCTACTGCTACGGCTACTGCTACGGCTACTGCTAGGGCTACTGCTACGGCTACTGCTACAGCTACTGCTACAGCTACTGCTACTGCTACTGCTACTGCTACTGCTGCTGCTACTGCTACTGCTTCTGCCTCTGCTACTGCTAGTGCTACTGCTACTGCTACTGCTACTGCTGCTGCTGCTGCTGCTGCTATTGCTGCTGCTGCCGCTACTGCTGCTACTGCTACTACTACGACGACGACGATACTACTACTACTACTGCTACTACTGCTACTACTACTACTACTACTGCTACTACTTCTACTCCTGCTGCTGCTACAACAACTACTACTACTACTACTACTCCTGCTGCTGCTACTACTACTACTACGGCTAGTAGCTGCCAGCCATTATCTTGATTACTAGCACTAGCAACTACGTTCGAGTTGCTGCGTACTGCTTACCACGTACTAATGCCTACGTGTTGTGTCTCATGTCTTGTCGACGATCATTTTAGAGACAGGAAGACACGCCTTGTTCGAGATGACCGACCCGACTACAAAACCCCAATCGCGGCGAAGGTTTGCAATGACCCTTCCGTGGTGGCCGGACACCAGCCCGATGCCCAAACCGTTCAATGACATCAAGGACGCTCTCACACAACACATAAGGCTGGTATCACGGCTTTCGGCGAGTTGCTGCGTTTTTGGGCCGTTCGTGTTAGGACGAGAAGGACACCGAGGACCGCAATCAGATGGCCTCCAAGGCGGGAGCCCCATCCTGACAATACCCTTGACATGACAGAGTTTCGTTCGACGGATTCGTCGGTGGAGCTTGAAGATTGAGTTTGAAAGCTTCCCCAGGGCCTCAGCGACCTCTACATGGGCACAATCGGTTTCAGGAGTTTCGTGAAGTACATGGAGAGTCTTGGCCCAGTCCAGGCAATCTTCGTGACTGCCTGCGCCGACACTCCCACTCCTATGCTCACCGAAACCAAACCCACATTCTGGTCGAGAAGTCAGGAATTCAGCCGTCGAGTGGAGGGTAAAGGCCTGGTCGTGAATGGTGAGCCAGGGCTTTCGGCCTGAAGCTGTAAACCTGTATTCTGAAAAGTGCGGCACCACTCAGAGATTTAGAAAACTTGGACAAATCCAAGAATTATGTTTCCCGGCGGTAGTCAAGGAAGAAGATCGAGCAGATGTTCGCGGACGCCATTGATCCAGTGCTGACAAACCTCAAGGCATTCTCGCAATCTCGAGTTCGAGTTGTTTTGAGCCAGTTTTGAGCCTGCGACCTGAAGCCTTGCCGTCAGCAGTGGGTAAGCACCCAAGTCCTTTTCTGCCAGTACTCTGATGCTTCCCTTACCTCCCTTCGAAGTCTTACGAGTGTTTGGGGTTCAGGATCGAGGAATCAATAGCTCAGGGCCTTCTGGCGGGAAGGTATTCCCGGCCGAAGCTGAATGCACAATGACTTCGAAGGGTTCTTAAAAGTCATAGATCTGTCATCGCTTGGCCAGGATCTGAAATCCACTGCGAGCCAGCAGAAGAGGGACTTGGAGACCGAGTACAACGACACGGCCGACGGACGCAACAAGAACCCCAAAAGTCTGAACACCACCCATTCCCAACTCCCCATCCTCTTGAACCCGTAAACCTTTGCGAGAAGCTCGGAGTTGGAGGTTCAAAGCTGCACAGTTCATGTGCGGTCTTGTCTTGGATCTCAGATTTTCCATGAGCTGGAGGGTTTGCAGTGCAGTTCTCTCCGTGTGGCTGCTGAAACCCTAAACCCTCTGGTTGTTCAGTGCCCTCCCAAACCCTAGAGCAAGATGTAGCAGTTCTACTTTGACCTAGTTTTATCATGCAAGCCCGAGGTCATCATGTTAGCTTCCCTTGTGGCTTGCTGCAGTGTCCTTCTGGTTGTTCTCGAAGCCTAGCATGCCCACGAGGATCCACATCGCATCCTGAGCACCACCCGCGATTGTGGCATCTCCTTTGCCACAGCGCTGACGCACGTGATGGAAGGCGCACGTCAGGGTTTGAAGACCTGCAGTTTTAGAGTCTCAGCTTCTGCTGCTTAGTGGGTCAAGTTCAGGGCTAAGGCCGTTGCATCATGCTTCTGTGCACTGGAGCTCAGCAGGCCTCACACATCCTCCTGACTCTTTATCCAACACAATCCCTCTGGTCGACTCGCCTTGCAACCCGAGCCCCCAAATTGTGACAGAGGCAAACTTTCAACTGGCGGCGCCCGCCCCCTCCCCCCAATTCGAAGCTTCCGACCTTTTCTCCTCGGAGCTCGAGGCGTTCTTGACCTGCAGCCCGTCATGAACTTGGACGAGGCCTTCCGATGCCGTGCTCCAGAACTGCGCTCTGAAGCCCCTGAAGCCGCAGCCGAGGAGCTCCGTGCCTTCCACACGTACCACCAGACACTGGGATCTGCGCACTTCAGCATGCTGCCCTCCGAGGAGCCCCGCAGCTGCCGCAACTGCCCGTCTCTGCCCCAACTTGGTGCGCAGGACTTCTGCAGCCTGAACGACTACATCGACTATCTGCGCAACGAAATACAGCCCCTTGAGAGGCAAAGAGGGCCTCCTGGGGCGAGGGTCCTGGAAGGGTGCGAGGTCCTACCCTTGCCGCCACGTCCTTGACAGCGTTGGGCGGCTTTCTGAAGCATCCAGCCGTTTCCCTTAATCATACGTGTGCTCAAAACATATGTGAGGGTTTTTGCTGCCAGAACAGCTATTCCATCATAAGGTTCTCGACGAATTCCAGTAGGTGCTTAGAGGTGAACTCTTGGCGCTTGGCGGGTTTATCGCGGTCTCTGGGACTGCGGCTTCCTGGTTTGCTAGTTTTGTATAGGGTCGGAGCGCGGGCCGTGCGGGGTGTAGGACTTGCGATTCCAGACAGAGTCAGTTCCGGTTTGCAGATCTTCTGGACTTGTGCAACCTGCTTGCAAGAAGCGCAGCGTCTGCGGAATTGATCGATGTTGTTCTGGATCGTTTTTTTTTGTGAAGGGCTTTTGCTTTTATCCGCGATACGGACAGACCAGCAGACAACCCCCACGCCATGGTAGCCCCCCCCGGCCGGGGAGGGGAGGGGGTGTGGGAGCAGCAGCCCGGGACCATAGCTTATCTACAACCATCCATCCATCCGTCCATCCATCCGTCCATCCATCCATGCATCCATCCATCCCTCCCTCCCTCCCTCTGTCCGTCCATCTGTCCGTCGGTCCATCCGCCCATCCGTCCATCCGTCCATCCGATCCATCCATCCGTCCCTCCCCTCCCATCCGCGTCTGGCTTAGGCCATGAGTCCGGAAGTCCGAAGCAGGGCTGTGCAGCCCGGACAGTAAGTCCCTCGTCCCCAGAAGCCCGACACATAAGTCGGAATTCTGAAAGCTACATCCTGAATTCCGATCTGATACTCCAGATGCAGCGCTTTGGAAGCCCTAAGAACTGCGACACGTGCCGAAGGAGACCCAAAGGCCGGAGACGTAAAAACCATATCTCAAGCCCTAGTGTTCAGTACAACCTCTTTCTTTTTTACGGTACAGGCCCGGGTTTGGCTTAGAGGCTGACGGCCTGAGCTCGAAAGCCGGACCAGAATCGGCACGACAAGTCTGCCATCCAAACTCGAAGCCCAAAACTTAGCCGAGGATCGGTGCCTTTGATGTGGAGGTAAACGGAGGCCTGTGGAGGGACACGAAAAGCAGCCCCTACCCCAATCCTCTCCCCCGTGATGTGAGACTGGCCGTCCCACAGATGTAAAGTAGGGAGTCGTGAGGATAGATGCCGGATTGTGGTCCTCAGATTGCAGGTTCGTGGGTTGGAAGTATTTCGGACACGTGCCCTTTGCCGCAGATTTGGCAGGTGCACAGTTCAGACGTCTGATGATGGAGGTGGAGATCTTCTTGCCGCTTTGCCATATCAATGGCTTGCGCTCATTGGTTTACAGATTGAACGTGGCATATCCTTAAAGGAATGGATCTTACGCTTTGTGATTGAGAGTTGCTGGGAGTGTGACACACGTCCGAACCCCGCAAAGGCCTTGGACCTCAAAGCCTTGAGCCCTAAAATCCGGCCTGCCATCCGCGTCTCGTCGCATCCTGACGGCGACGCAGCTCCCCAGGCGCTTCTCGGAAATTGCAGTGGAGATCAAGAAGCGCGATGCTGCTCGGACCCTGCTTCCACTAGACTGGCGGCATTAACCGAACACAGTTTAGTCCGCCTCCTGCAATCTGGCGCTAGGACGGTTTTCGCTGAAGAGACTTGGCAAATCCTCCCGTCGTTCAGGTGATCCAGGCTCGCGGGGTGTCTATGAGTTCGCTCACATGGCGCGACGTGGTCGTGAAGCTTCTCGCTGATCTTTGGGGTGTTTTGAAATTTAGAGCTTCTTGAGACTTCCACTTCCTCGTCCGTGCAGCCCAAGCCCAGGCCCGAGTCTTCGAGGGCCAACACCCGTGCCCGCTTGGGCGTGTGTTGCCCTATGGATGGGCCGTCCCCAGTAGACGTCACCCTGTTCTTGCTCGGTGCCTTCATGAGAGAGATCATGTCGGGAACCACTTTGACTCTCTGACCTGGGCTGTCTTGGCAAGTGCGTTTCCAACCGTGCTAGCTTTCCCCGGCGGGCCCACGGAGATTCAACTGATGGAGGTGGCTTGTTCTGCCCGACGTCTTTTTGCCAAGCTCCTACTCATTCACGAGCTCACTCGCCTAGCTCGAGCGTATGGCTTGCTTTTGACAGTATGTTGGGAATACTCGAAGCCACCATATTTGGAAACATCAGCGCTTCTTACAAGCCAGCGGGCAGACGGGGCTCCACCCAGCATACCACAGCCAAGGATGCTGTTGCAGAGGATATCCAAAACAAATGTTGCAGTGATGCTCCGAATGCCGAGACGAGAGCTTCGAACTGTTGTTTCCGTGTTTAACAAAACTACACATGTGGTTGAACACATGAATTACCTAGCAAAAAAACGGCTTGGTTGGCATTTTGCCAGTATCGTTTCCGCCTTGAAGCTCAGCACCCAACCAAGGCTGAGTCCCTAGTCCTGAATATTGAACCCTGAACCTGCTCGACGTGTTTCCTTTTCTAGACACTGAAGCCCTCTTCAAAATTCGAGGCTTCTCAGTCACGAAGCGCATCTGCCGTTGCAGCGCCGAGTGGCCTACGTGGGGGAGCGAATCAAATGGCTACTTGCTCACAGTTGGGACAGGGCGGTCTTCAACTTCTCAGCTTGGGCCATGGACGCTATCGCACTTATGTAGTGGCAGGACAGGTGGCGAGGTTTCAAGAGCAGCCGAGGTTCTTCGAAATCCAGACACGCGGCAGCAGCGTCGGTGGGCTCCGGGTGCTTGCGAAACCCGAAGCTCCCAAAACTCCCGATGGTTAACGGCACGTGGGCATCGGCACCACATGGGCATCGGGCTCTCTTTCTCAAGCGCAAGGAAAGATGCCGTGCTGGAGTTCATGACGAAGCTCGAGGGGTCGCCGACGGCCAACTTGCGCCTAGGCCGCAAGCGGCCGAGGCGATGTGAGGCGATAGGGGTGCTTGGTGTTGAGGCATTGCTAGTTGCAAGGTCAACCTCCACCGTTCGAGGGTTTCTGAACGTAGGGTATGGAGTTTGGGATTCAGGAACTGTAGGAACAATAGGTTCAAAAAATCAGGAGCTCTTAATTAGAGACTGAGAAATCTGAGAAAGCTAAAGCCTGAATCAAGATCTCCGAGAGCCGAAAAGCGACGAGGAAAGGTCTCCTGATAGGCAGGATACGAATGCGAGTATCCGCCGGTTAACGGTTTCAGCGACCCCGGTGCTACGACTCAAGGCAAGATGCGGCTAGCGTAGCCTCGATTTCTGCTTCACGGGTAGCAGCTGAACCACAGCCGTAAAGCTCAGAAGACTGAAAGCCGCTTGGAGCCTTCAAGCCTCGGTCCTCGGACTGCTCGATGAAGCTCCGTAAGCCTTTTTTCAGCAATCCGTGTCTACCCTTCCAAAGGCAGACGCGATGTGCCATGAAGCACATGGACCCTCACACTCAGGTTCTCACCGCTTTACCCGCAGCACGCGAAGCTCATCAAGCAGCATCCTGGTGCAGACAGCTCCTTTTTCGGGTTCCAGTCGCAGGCTTGCTGCAAAATGTTCGTAGCTTAGACGGTATGTCGTCGTTCCGCAAATTTGGCTTGTATCATCGCTCTTTTGCGAGGTCACAGCTCAGGGGTTTCAGTTTACGCTGGCTCCTTCCGGCTTCGGCTCATGTCAATTTGAGGGGCTTGGGTGGTTTTGAGCCTTGAAGTAGCATGAGCCTTCTGTCGCATTTGGCCCGACAACAAACCTTCAAACTTTGCACGGAGAAAACAGAAGCAAGCTCTTCTGCTGGAGGATGCTGCTCGCCTGCTTTTGCAGTGCAGATTTTGTAGGTCTGCATTGGCACCGCCCTGCAATGGAAGGAGCTGTCGCCACAAGCTACAGTTTTGTCCGTCCCTGTTGTGTACCTAGCCAAAGTCTGAGAAGTTCTCGAGCATTCCGGATGGCACTAGCGGTCGCCACTTCGGCCCGGGATGAGTGTGGGTTCAAAGCGGCCGGCACTTGTATTGTTCAAAAACTTTTCGGGGGTTGGGTTCTCCTTCAGATCTTCCAACCGCGTGAGCCACGAAACGGGGTGCGGCGCTGGAGCGAAACGTTTACAGTCTTCGGCGTCCAACGGGTCTGCAGGGGGTCGACGCGGGGCGGGTGCGGCGTGGCAAAAGTCGTGAGACGGGGTGCGGCACGGGCGTGGGTCGTGGTACGACGGGGTGCGGCGCGGCATGTTTCACCGGGCAGGTCGCGTTTCACCGAGCGGTTGGCGATACGTTGTGCGGCACGGCGCGTTCCAACGGGCAGGTCGCGATACTGGTTGTGGTGTAACACACTTGTGTGTGCTAGGACAAGCCGGCGAACGTTGATCCCGCAGCTGCCTTTGGGATCGACGTCGCCCGGCCTTCAAGCTTTTTCCGCTAGCCTCCTCCCGGCGCCATGCCGTCGGCAAGCTCCAATGTTTCGATCGAGGAGTGCGCGGCCGGCACAACCTGGTCACCCGTACCGTTCCAGGCGCCCCCGGAGGCTCCTGGGCAGATGGCGGCGGCAGCCGCAGACCTGGCGGCGATGTCAGATCCCTCCCCGGAGCCCCCCTCCGAGCATGACGCGTCTTCGGCGACGCAGGGGGCTCCCGGCGGACAGCAGCAGACGGTGCCTGGCGAGCCGGCGAGTGTGCCGTCTTACCCGGCAACGCCAAAGGCGCGCTTGGTTGTGGCGAAAGAGTCCTCTTTCCCGGCCATATGTCTGGCAGACGGCGGTGCCCATAAGCAGATTGGGTCTTCCAAAGGTGATTCTGGTACCAAATTTTGCATATTATGCGCCAACATCCACTCAGGACCACCCACAGGCGACAACCAGGACATCATGGACCATCGCACCACCAAATACCGCCAATTGGTTTTGACCAGTGATGAAGACGTCATCCAGTCCTACCACAGATTAAACGAAAGGCGAGCCACGTGCAGGACCAAAGCAGAATTCTCGCAATGGCAACAAGCCACCGGTTGGCCTGGAATCCCCAAGCCTTGCTCCTGAACCAGACTTTGTTGGCCAAGAACCCAGTGAAGCCAGTCAGCCAGTTCCGCCATGACTGGATGCACGGCATTCTGCAAGGAACGGCCCCAGTCGTGCTGTTCCAGAGCTTCCAATCCATCTCCGAGCACTACAACATCTGGGAGGCCATGGGCCCATACATAAGCATGTGGAACTTTCCAGGTGCTTCCAAGGCCGGTCACTTGGCTGGTTTGTTCGACACCAGCAAGGTCGCCAAGTACAAGAGCAGCCAGAAGTTCAGTTGCCAAGCTTCGGACCTGCTAGGGCTTTATCCAGTCATTCGCCATTTTTTGCATTCTGTTGTTGTGGCAAGCGGAATCTGCCCAGAGGCTTGCCAAGCTTTCCTGAGCCAGGCCTGCTTGATAGACCACAGGCTTGGAAGAACAGTGCTTCTCAATCCGCCACAAGGCTATACCACATGCACATGACATTTTTAGCCCTATATGGCCATGCACGACAACCTGCCCGTGCAGGCCATTGACATGTATTGTTGCCTTAAATTTGTTTGACAAGGTACATGTTGTATATATTTCATTTCCGATACCAGTGTTTATGCTCCATGGATTGTCTTCTCATATCAGACTCCGTAGCCTAAACCTTAATGCCAAAACACATAAGTTGCTTCTACAATTTTGATGTCTATAACTTAAGCTAACTCCACCTAACTTTTCAGCTAACTAACATAACTATGTTAACTACTTATAAAACAACCAGGATTCCAAGTAGGTGACCGCCACGTCGAAATAGTTCTGCGCGGAGCGGTGCCCGCCGTGGCAGGCCTCAACCCAAGTCCGAACTCTGGACTGGAAAGGCGCCTGGGAGGACCGCGCCAGGATGTTCTGGTACTTCCGCCAAGGCCGCTTCCCGATTCTCCGGAAGCGCCGCCTCGAAAGCCAGCCGTTTGGACGCCCTGGTCACGGCCCGCCGTACGGGGATGTCGGCCCAGCATCGACCCACCGCCGGGTCTTTCACGATGCCGGTCACGCCCCGGCGGAGTTCCCCGAGCCTTTGGAAATACCGCACCTAACCCAGGAACTGCCAGGCATCAGCGAGACCTTCTTGCTGAACAAGCCAATGCAGTGGCCCAAAAATCATACCAGCAGCGGAGTCAGCAATCACCCTGTCCAGGACCGCAGGTATTGGACCTGCACAGCTTGGACTAATCCGACAGGAAGCAGGGAAGTGGCATTCAGCCACCCGTTAGGGAGTCCGCCATCGGCCCCTACTAAGGTCATCGAAGCGAACAGCTCAGATGTAGTACAAATGCAGCCATATAGAGAGCCATCAGGACTGAATCAACCAGGCGGTTCTCGCAGTACGGCTCAATTCGCAACTTCTTTTGGGTGCCCGGCAGAGGGCCCCATGTGTCGTCACTCATGTTTCCATGCAGTGCTTGTACTGGTTGACCTGGAACTTTTCCTATATTGCGATCAGTTGAGCCTCCAAGTCAGCAGCCAAGTGCAACTAAAAAACACTGGTAGAGAAAATAATGCCTCACTGTCCTCAGGTCGGCACCTTCAGCTCCTACCAGCCGTACAAGGATGCAGGACCCTGCCAAGAAGGCTTCTTGCCTGTATTGCCGAGGTTAGCAGGGCTTCTCATTGCTTAACAGCTAGCAGTGCTACTTGTGCAAAAGATACTGCCCGCAGAAGTGTTGCCGACTCAAGCACCATGCCGCCAGCAGGGAGAGGTGGCCGTCGCCACCAGCGCGATGTCAGGGATGACAGGGATGACGAAGAGGAAGATGATCAGGAGCCTGAAGAAGAAGACAGGCCCCGTCGCTACCCGCGATCCCGCTACAGGCCGGATGGCACCCGACGCCGCTCGGCAGGCGAACTCCAAGCCAGGCAGGCAGCCTGGCAGAATAAAAGGAAGGGCAGGGGACAGGCCCCCCAGACCGGCCAGGGCAAAGGCAAAGGAAAGAATTCGGATCGTGGCAAGGGAAATGGGGAGCAGCCGCGGCAACGGCCCCCAACCCAAACATCAAATCGCCAGCAAGAGCAGCGCCAGCAAGACAGGCGAACAGAAAGGCGAGAAGATCAGGATCCCCGGCCAACACAGCGCCGCGATCAGGACGATGATCGAAGTCGCGACAGAGAATGGAATCCCGACACATGGCAAGGAGGTGGCTGGATAGACTATTCTTCACGGCAATGGGATGGATGGCGAACCAACACAGAGGATCGCCGCCCTGATCGCCGTCGGCAGCAAGATGCTGAAGAATCACGGGAGGGCAGACGCCCACCAGCAAGGGGAACCGCTAGGGATGACCGTGATACGGCCCCTACCAGCAGAGCGGACCGACAAAGAGACACTAGAGATGATGCTCCCCAACGCCGGGTCGAGCGGCATAAAGATACTCATGAAGACACTCCCCCACGGAGGGTTGAGAGACGTGAGGCCAGGACACAGGGACGTCCTCCGACCCCTCCTCGCAGCCCACGCAAGCGAGGTCACCGTGGGGACGCCGATAGCCGGCCCCAGGCAGAGAACAGTCTCCCAAAAGACCTTCCACGAGGCCCGCCCCAGTCTACGGCTCAGACAGCCAGACAATGGGAGCGCTGGCAGTCGCTTCGCGACAACCTCAGGAAACTGAGGCAGAATGGGGCCACGGAGCACATTGAATCGTTCTTCGGCAGAGGCCACTATACCAAGAAGCATGATGACTTTCACAAAGCTGTGAAATTGCCATCCTACGGGAACTGGAATTGGGCATCGTTTGCCTACCTGCTCTGTGGAGAGCTCCATGGCAATCCGGAAACCTCAAAGGAAGGCTCGTACGGAGCAGCCGTTGAGGGCTGGGTGGGAACAGTCCACGAGGAAGAGGACCCCGAATTCCGAGCCATGTTCAACTGGATTGTGGAATCCATGGATGCTTGGGTTGATCTCCTGAGTGAGATCACCAGCCAAATGCATGACATTATGGGCTGGAAAATTACGGAACCAGAAGTGGATCGACTTCTACGCCACTTCTACCCGGGAGCCAAGCAACCAACTACGGCCCCTTCCTCCTCCTCGCATCAAGCCAAGGAAGTGCCGTATTCGGCCCCTTCACAAGATGCTGACTATCAAGATGAGGAAGATGACTACTACTATGAGGACGAGGAGTACTACGATGAGGGCGACGAGGAAGAAGAGGAAGATCAGTACTGGGAAAGGGAAGAGGAAGCTCCGGCAAGCTCCCATAAAGAAAACATCAAGGATGAGCACAACCTGGAAAGCCTGGAAGCCCTCGGCATCTACGAAGAGGTGCCGACCACACCGGCCCCAAATGCTGACTCCGCCCACACCAGTGCTCACAGCACACTGACCGAAGAGCCAGAGGGGAGCCTGGAACAGGCCCCCACCTTCACTCCGTACTCCTTCCCATTCCCGCCGACGAGACTCCGTCGAGACCGCGACGAAACCTTATCGAAGAGGTTAAGCAAGGTCCTCCGTCATGACAAAGGCCAATTTGGCCTTGACTTCTACAAGAATGCCACGGCACCTGGAGGCGATCATCAGGCTGGATATATTCGCCCAAGTTCGGGCGACCAAGGAGGAGCTCATGGCAGTGATCTACTGGAACAAAAAACAAAGGTTCCGAATCCTCCTGGCCCGGGACCGAGACAGCACCAACATTGTGGTTGGAGCAGTACAGGGCCACAGCAGTAAAGTGGACCCGGAGGCCGTACACGATAGGGTCGACCCCAAGGAGGTCCCCTTTCTCCTTCACGCGACCCACTATGAGTTCTACAAGAAGATCTTTCACGAAGGCCTTCACCCTGGCGGTGGTGGAGGGAGCTCCTGGAGGCAGCAACTTCACCTACTGCCCGGTGAGAGGAGCAGCGAAAGGTACTTCCCCACACGCACTGACATCGTGCTACATGTGAAGCCGAGCTCGGCCACCGAATGTGTCTACTATCGCTCTCAGAATGGGTACTATCTCACGTCTGACTCAATCGCTCCGAAGTACATTCAGGCTGTGACGATTCGTGAGAGCGGGGAAAGGGTTGAGTCCACGGAGGACTCCCCTCCACTCCCATCCGTGGTGCTGCAGGCCTACCTACGGCCACAATTAGGACAGGCTGGTCGGCAGTCGGCCCCGGACAATTCAAACTCTGCGCAAGTGCGAGCATACATGCTGCAACCCTTTCTTTCAGCCATTTGTGTGACAACCCACACTACTGCAATCTTCATGTCCGTGCCTGGCAGGAACTGGATGGTGGTCAGACCCACATGCTCGACGGTCAGGCTGGTATTCTAGAGGTCGCGACTCGACTAGATGCACTCTTGTTTGCCACTCGGCTGTCCATGCAATCCGCAGCGGATCAGGAAGGGCTCTGGCCCAACAAATCACATGGGCCCCCATCAGATAGGACCGCTCACTGCAGCATGTCGTCTGATTCGGACTTCTGGGAAGCACTTGACGACGAATTCCCGGATGTTGAATGTGATAGTGATGATCTCCTGGACGAGACCCCTCCACCGGGAGTGACTCAGGCAGTGCAGCCCGACCCACCATATCGGCCAGTATTTCCAGGTACTCCGGTGCAAAACGTTTTGGCACTGGTCAAGAGGTCCTCCCCAGGGCAAAAGGGAGAGGACGGCCCTGCCCACAGAACTGTGGTGCCGACCGGTCGGCCACAAAAAGCAGCTACATCTAGTCAAGTGGATGGAAACCGCAAGAGGAAAAGGAGGCCATCGCAACGGCCTGATCTACCGGAGCAGCCCGAAGATGGCCCGGAACAAGCCGGGGGTGCAGCCTCCCACTCAACCAGAATGCACCTCCTCTTTGGTGAGCCCATCCACCTGACAGGCAACCAACCCGACAGCGGTAATGCGGAGACGACTGATCGACCCGCAACCATCACAGATGACCTTCCCATGGAACTAAGTGCTGACTATCGCCTTGAAGACGATATCGATCTCACTTTGATTCCGGCCCCCATCCAAGGGGTGCCGACAACTTGACGCCGCCCTTTTGCGGCGGCTAAAATGCTCGTTCGTGCAGGCCTTAGATGTGCAGGTTGCTTCAGACTCTGCCAAGAGCGCAACTGTAAGCAGCTGCCAACACAAAAAGTGCTGCAAACTGAAGCCTGTCCAGTGAGCCAGCATCAAGTCTCTCTGATCAGCAGCTGCGACAGAACTACACTGCCCCATATTCGGCAGGTGCGGAATTCTTCGCTACCTGGAGCGGCCAGAGGACCACCGGATGTGAGTGCATATGCATTGCTGCACACACACCAGCTGGCCTGCGCACTTTTGTGCTTCTGCTTTCTGCGGTTTCTTCCATGGCTTATGCGGCATCACACTCATACCCATTGGCGCACTACTAGACGATGTAAGGGAGCGTACAAACGTAGACCCATTATCCCCAACAACACAAGGCATCATCGAGTTCTCCTGAGCCGCGTCGGTCCCAAGTCCGACGACTCTCCCAGCCCGGCCAAGCAAACAACAGGCACGCGGGGAGAGGGAGGTGAGGGTTCCCTCTGGGCCTCCCACAGAGGGAAGACCACTTCACGTTAACAAAACGTGCTCTTCCCATGGTGGGAAGACGGTGGGCGGCGCGACCAAACACCGGACTACTGCGAAAGCGGGCAAAAATGCACCGCGTCCCGACAGTCACAGGAGCTGTGGCAAAGGGTTGATCCACGAGATCCCCGCCACCAAAAAAGGGAAGGCCCATATAGGCCCCCAACGTCCCTACCAGCTGGGTATCATAGGGCGTGCACTACTCCTACTGCTTCTCCTCCAACCAGTGCAAGCAGTGACAAATAGTGGGAATGTCGATATCGCCCGACTCCCAGGGTCAAAACGGGCCATCAGAAGGGCCAAACAGCGTGCTCAATCCAGGGGTTTCACTTGGTACAAGGGGCGCCGTACTACGGCCCCTCACCTTGCTGACGTCGTACTCCGCCAAGCGACGAGACCAACCACCGAGCCAAAAGCCACCAGAGGCAATAGAGCGGGACAACATCATGTCGAAAGACTTAGTATACTGTCCTTGAATGTTGGTTCCCTCTCGACCTTGCTTTGGCATGAGCTAAAGGAATACTTGGCGACGGCTCAGGCCGACGTTATATGTCTTCAGGAGACTCACTGGTCCACGACCTCAGACTTTGTTGTCCAGGGGTGGCGTGCAATCCACTCGGGTACCAAGGCCAGGGCCGATGGCATTCTCACACTCGTTCACCCGAGGCACACTAAGCGTGTGGTGAGGCATGAAGAGATTGTACCAGGCCGGGCTCTCCGGGTTCAGGTTCAAGCCACACAAGGACGCATCGAGGTCTATACAGTAATTGCTACCAGCATCCCCACAATTACACCTGCTCTCCCGACTCGCTGCGGGAGAAACGACATGCTTTCCTTAACAAGGTTACCAAATCCATCACAGGTATCCCCCTCCGTGCTACTCTTATAGTAGCGGTAGCGGGAGACTTCCAGGCTGAGGTCAAACCCTCCCCGCCACATGTAGGGCGCTCTACATGCAACACCCCCTTCCATGTGGGACCGGAAGCCTTAGACCCGGATGCATTAGGGCTGTTCCTGGAGACAAATGGATTGGTGGCACTAAACACCTGGCATGGCGTTGCGAAACCTACTCAATTTAACCAGGCTCCCCAAAACCAGGTGGGTTAGAGCCAGATTGACTACATTCTGACGCGCGCTGTGACGGCTGACTCCAGAGCCAAATTTGTTAAGGTGGCTAAGCCACCGATAGGCACGTGGCGCCTTCACATAGGCCACTACAGCCTCGCTACGGACATCAGAATAATGAATCATCACCTGCTTCCAACCCGCCGTCCTGCGCAGCCGGCGTACAACAAAAAAGAACTTGATGAAGCAGTCCGCAAAGAAACAGAACAAGCCCAGCAACTGGCACTTGAAATCAAGTCTAGGGTAGAGCTCCTCCCGCAGGACTCCCCTCATTTGAATCAAGCCATTATGCAGGCATGTTGTCACGTTTTTCCACCCGCGGCAAAGTCCCCACACAAATCCAACCAAACCATTCTTCATCTCTGGCAGCTTCGCAAAGCAGCCAGATACTCCCCCGTTCAGATGAACAGAACTGGCCGCCTTTTCGCTGCTCTTGGAGAGCCACTGTTCGTTATCGCATGGCCGCCAAAAAAGCCCAAAAACAGTGCTATGCAGACAAGCGAAACGCCACACTCACTCTCCTTGGGCAGGCCGAAACTGCGGCCACCAGTGGGGACCAGCGGAAGGTTTATCAGGTAGTCAAACAACTGGCGCCATGGGCCCCTCGCACTAGGGTTATGCTCAAAGACGAAAAAGGCACACTTCTTACACAGAAGCAAGAACATGAATCACTGGTCAGCTATAGCAAGGGTCTCTTTGCCCCCAAACAAGAACAGCCCCCGCGTGCAAGCGAAATTCTCCCCCTCATCTTTACAATGGAAGAAGTGTATGGACAGCTCAAAATCACCAGCGTGAGCAAAGCGGTCCCCCCAGGGGTTGCACCGACAGCTGCGTGGAAAGTGGGAGCGGCTTCTATCGCACCCCTACTCAGATTCACAATGGAGCAGTACGCGCAGGCAAACGTCACTCGTCCTCCCAGGTGGACTGACGCCTGGATCATCTGGCTTCCAAAGCCAGGTAAGGCGCCGTCTCAACCTTCGGCCCTCCGTCCTATTGGACTGATGAGCCCCGAAGCCAAGGTGCTTGCGGCCCTTATCAAAGAAAGGCTTTACGAGGTCATTCGGCCCCAGCTGCAATGGGTGCCGCAATATGCGTACCAGCCCAACAGAGATATCCTTGATGCACTGGCCAGAGTGCACTCCTGGATGAAACAGTTCCGACAAACTCTTGACAAAGCTGGCACAGGCAGATTTGCCATGAAGGCCCGTGAAGCAGAGGGCACTCAAAAGGACCTCTGCGTTGGAGGAGCTATCCTCAGCCTGGATCTTAAACAGGCATTTGACCGTGTTGAGCGACATGCGCTGGCCTCTTCCCTCAAGCGACTTGGTGCCCCCGATAGCCTCATCGCGGCGGTAATCGCCTTGCATGATACGTCGTCGTATCACATACAAGACGACTTCTACGAGACCACGGTAGGCACCACGCGTGGAATCCGCCAAGGGTGTCGCATTGCGCCCCTCCTTTGGGTGGCGATATCCACTACGATTCTGTATGAATTACGGGATGCCCTTTCGGGCCCCAAACGCCAGGGAACCACGTTTGCAGATGATACATTATGCCAATGGCTCATCGAGCAGGAGAGTGACGTCCATCAGTTGGCTGCCCTTCTGGCACAAGTGCTCAAAGTTATGGAAGCGTTAGGCCTTCATGTTAACCTTACCAAGACCTCACTGCTTCTTAAAGTCAGGGGCCCCGGGGCTAAGCGGGCGCTCAAACAGTACCTCGTTCGCAGAGAAGGCAAGCAGCACTGGCAAGTGGAGACCGAGTCCGGCCCCGCATACATTCCTTTAGCAAAATCGGTAATCTACCTTGGCACACACTTGGAGCTCGGAGAGTGCGCCCTCCACAACACCCGTCACCGCATCAAGGAAGTAAAAGGCCGAGAGGCCAAGCTTCATAGATCCACTCGCTCACGCCGGATTTTCAGCCTCACCCATCGCCTTAGGATCTGGAACGCGTGTGCAGTCTCGAGCGCCACGTACGGTCTGCTCCCGGTGGGAATGACATATGCTGCGGCAACCAAGCTCCGTAACTGGTTTTACAGGCAACTACGCGCTGTAGTGAATTCCCCGGCCCATCTCACACACGAAAGCAACTCCGATATTTGCGCTAAGTTCAACATTAGCGACCCACTTGATTCCCTTCACCATGCTATTCAGCGAAAAATTGAAAAACTTCAGCAAAAACCTGCTGACATCACGAACACCACTGACATCATGAATTTCTGGCAGGACACTGCACAGGAATTTAAGCAGGTTACCACAACTGAACTCCGTTCCAAGACCCTTGTTCCGGCTGAGCCGACCACAGCAGGCCTGGCATGCCCCGAATGCGGCCTATATTTCCCGTCGACGAAAACCCTCAGACAACATCGAGCCCAAAAACATAAACAAAAGGTCAGCATCGATGCGGAGGAAGAGCGACGATACAAGCAACATGAGCACTGCATTCAAGGCATGCCTCAATGCAGATACTGTCAAAAGCATCTCCAATCCTGGGGTGCGTTTAAACAACACATCCTCACCTATGCTTGCCGGGCAAGGTCCAAGGACGTGGTCAAGCAGCCCAAAACTGAGGAACCTGATAGGGAGCCGTCTCCGGCCCCTGAGCACCAAACTCCTGAAGCACACTCCATCCCTCAGGCTACACTGCTCTACGATCAGGCCCAGGATAAGGCTACCCAGGAACCACACAATACACCGGCCAACACGGAAGCACAGGCTGACACACCCATTCTCCGTACGCCGGCTGCCATAGCCCTACTCAAGCAACCCCCGGTCCAACTCCACAGTCTTGCAGAATGGGCTCCACTCCTCCATGCACACTGTGGTTTTTGTGGGCAATGGATTGCTAAACAGGGATCCGTAAAGGACTTATGCACCCGGAAATCTGGGATGCAGGCCTTGAAAATTTCACTAGGAACTGCGAAGAATATCGGGATCTCATTCACAGAGATCATGATTGCGAGCTCTGCCAGCAACGGGTATACTCAGCCGATCGCCATATTCGCAGCTGTGTGGTACTATTCCAGGTGGCACTTGCCAGTGCCTGGTGTCAGGCAGGCCAGCCTGAAACCTCTACCCAACCCAACATCTCACCAGCGCACTACACCCCTGCCAAAGTACGTGAACTGCTTCAGGACACCACGGCCCCCACAGGGGAAGCCGACAGGCCACTTATGCAATTTCTTGAACGACACTGCGGTTTCTGTGCAACCCCTGTCACTAATCAGCAGGATTGGAGGCGACGTATGGCCAAAACCCATCAGGACATATGGTGCGCCCCTCAGTTACAGGATCGTGTCGCCACAG